CGCCGGGGCGGGGCGGGGGGAGCGGCCCTGCCGCCGGCCGGCGACGTGGGTGGGCGCAGGGGGAGCGCGGCAGAGCCTGGCTCCCGCCGTCGGGGGGGAGGAGAGGGAAGCGGCGCAGCCGGGCGACGCTCGGCACAGAGACGGGAAACAGGGAAAAACACCAGGGGGAAGCGGGTGAAGCCCATTTTGGGAAATAGCTTGAATCACAGGTTAATTCGGACAGCCAGAAGCTCTGTGCAAGCCACCTCGGACTCAGCGCTCTGTAGCCCAGGCAGGGCAAAAGGTAGACGCATGGGGAGGAGAGGATGGGCATGGGGGTGCAGGACCGAGTGCGTGCGGTGCCAAGCACCCCGCATTCACCGCCTAATGTTTGCACAAGGAAGACGTCGGTGCAGGCAGGGTCAGGGCCGGTTTGGTGGTGGGGCTGAGCCCGCGGCAGACTGATTCAGCTCCTGCAGTGCCAGCGCTCACTGGTGCTCCCACGCTGCTCCGGAGCAGCCGGGCTGCGTGCGGCACCTGGTGGTCACCGGCCCCCAGGGTCTGGCCAGGCTCCACATGCACGCCGTGGGTGCAGGACCACAGGATGCACACCTTATGCAGGCACGCATCACTCGCCCTCCCGCAGCGCCGCTGCAGCACCCAGCACCCGGAGCTCTGCACCGGCCCCCCAGCTTGCCATGCCTCACGGAAAGTGCTGAATAAATATGCTCCAAGCCCGGCCCTCAAAAAACCATGGACTCAAAGACAATCTACAGCTGGATGGAGGGAACAGGGCCTCCGACCAGCGGTTTTATTAAATCTGGTGTCCCCGGAGGTCGATGACTCCTCTTGATTGGCAGAGCAACTCCCCACACCGGCGGGCCCCATGGGGCCCTCAGTCATCCCAGGTGTTCTTGTCCATGTCGATGGACATGCAATTGTAGATGGCATAACGCAGCAGCTCCTCGCAGGCCTTAGCCCTGGAAGGGAGACACTGGGGTCACAGCCGAGAGGGGGACAGGACCCCCATGCCAGCCCCAGGGAGGGCGAGCGCCCCCAGCCCCAAGCCCAGCTCCACTCACGAGGAGTATGTGGGCAAGAAGAAGGTGCAGGAGCAGGTGGAGACCTCCGGCATCAGGTCCAGCGTTTTTGAGCTTCAGAGGAAGGAGAAATAGGTCAGGTCTGGGCACCTGGCAGAGCACAGAGATGCCCGGGCCAGCACAGGACAGACTCACTTTGACCTTTCCGGGTAGATGGTGATCTGCACGGGGAGGCGGCTCCGGCCAGTGACGAACTTGAGGAAGCGGCTGAGATCCTCTGGGAGGAAGGAGAGGGCTCAGGTCTTGGTGAAAGGGCCTGTTGGGGTCAGCAAGCTCTGCTCCTGACCGCCCCCGTCCCGACCTGCAGGGGGTCCCCGGCCGCCCGCTGCTGCAGCAGGGATTGCCCTTGCAGCAGCACCTCAGGAGCACACAGCACACGGCAAAGCTACGGGACGGTCTCAGCATCCCAGGACAGCTTCCCAGGGAAGCCCATGGCCCCTGGCGAGTCTCCCGGGGCAGAGGGCGGTGGGTACCCCATCCCGCTGGACCTGCCACCCCACTGCGGTGCACACAAAGTGAGGAAAGGCCTAGGGGTCCGCTCACCCTTGGTGAAGTTGTTCAGCGCCTCCAAAAACATCTCAACGCGGGAGTCCTTGGGGGAAAAGTCCTCAAACGTGACTGTGACAAGGAATGCACAAAAGCTTTGTTAGAGACTCCTAGCAAGGAAAAATGAACATGGGACATTGTCCTGCCCCTCTGCGAGACCCCATAGTGGAGGCAGGGGAGACACCCTCGGGACACGAGCCAGGCTGCTCTCCCTCTGCCCTGCGCACACTGAGCATCCGATGCCTACCAGCACTCCACTGAGGGCGCAACCCCAGGATACCACTCCTGCATAAGATGGGGCCACCTCCTACTCAAGGCCAGGCAGGCTTCAGCTCCCCTTGCACACCACCCTGGCTCCCCCAGCCACAATCCTCCATCGAGACCCTCTTCGCAGAGTATGGACCTGGGTTCCTGCTGCAGCCAGGGGCTGCAGACGCACACGAAAGGGGTGAGTGTCACCCTTGGCTTGCTTGGAAAACCTTGGGCCACTTGGTGAGCTTCCAGGAGCCCCCAGGACTCTGAGCAGGGTCTGAAGACAGGTGGAGAAATACGAGGTTCTGGTTTGCAGGATGGCCATTCGCCTCTGCCCTCATCAGCTGATGAACAGGGGGATCAGGGTGGAGAACAGTGGGGTTTTCAGCTAAACCTGTAGCATCCCAGCACTCTCCAGGGTCCCCCTGCCTCTTCCTCCCACCATGCTCCCTGGCACGCCATAAACAGAGTGTCAGCTACTGGACTTGGCGCGGGGGGAGGACGGACGCACAGGACAAGCATCGTTGAAGCTACTGTATGCCCATGCAGACCAGTCGGAGCAGAGAGCAGTGTCAGGCTGCCCCAGCACTTACTGAACTTCCTCAGGTCAGCCACTGTGATCTCAGGGTCCCCGCAGACCTTCTTCTCCAGCTGCTGCCAGGTGAGGAGGTCCAGCATGGCCTGGGGCACCACACGGAGCAGCCCAGCCCGCATGGCCGCAATCTAGGGGAGCACAGGAGGAGTCCCATGTTGCCACAGCGGGTCTGAGCCCAGGGCAGCTGGCCAGAGCACCAAGGCAAGGCACTAAGGGACCCCAGAGAGGCCCCACAGCTCACGGCAGAGTCGGGAATCATTTCCGGGGCTCGGAGGCAGCCCGTGCATAGGATGCGCAGAGGGACTGCCCAGTGGGAACCGGTACTGGGGACACATTTTTGCAGCCACCAACCCCACAGTTCAGGTCCAGGCCAGCTGCTATGAGCCTACGAAGGTACCAGAAGAGCCTGCCATACGGGACAGAGTTCCCTTACAGCCTGGCCAGCCCTGAGAGACAGCGTTACCTGCTCCTTGCTCTCCTCCAGCCGGGCCTTCTGCACTAGGCGGATGAACTCCTTGCGATCTTCATAGCGCACCACAGTGCTTCTGCCGCGGGGGATCAGCTCCACCATGCGCTGGTCGCTCAGCACCGTTGTGTAGGTCAGCTCATTCCCAAACTTGAACTCAAATGTCTCCAGCACCTCCAGGAGCTTCACCTGGGACCAAAATGGATAAATGCAGGATTGCTGCAGAGTAACCAGCAGGCCACAGGCATGTACAGCCAGCTCCAGCCCCCATCCCCACTCACCAGCTCTGAGTCCACAGCAGCAAAGTCCTTGCTCCAGCTGACTTCCTCTCCTGCCAGCTGTTTCCACACCAAGCCTGGCAGAGCCAGGACCTGCAGGAGGGAGCAGAGACGTGTGTCTTCCTCCACACTCCTTCGCTGTGTGCCAGCCAAGGACATAGCCCTCCACCCAGGCAACACTCCCAGGCAGGATGTGGAGGCAGGGGGACCAACGCCCCTGGGCTGCAACATCTGGGGTGGATCTGACCCTCACCAACCCCTTTTGCCTGGGCTCACCAGAAACTCCTTGCCCCTCAGAGTTGCTCCCATGAGCTGCCCGATCCACTCGTATTTGGGGAAGTCCTTGCAGGAGGGGTTGGGGACATACATGTCCCTGGTGTCACCGGCACTGTTACCCTGTGGAAGAGAGGGGTTTAGGACCCACAGCCAAAGATGCAACCCAGGCAGTGGGGCCAGCCCAGCACAGTCTCCCCTTAGAGCCTCCCTCTCCATCCCCTCGCCTGCCTTTCCTGCCCCTTTTACACTCGTCCACAAGATCTCCATCAGATGGGTGCATGCATAGCAGCCTAGCTGATGGCCCTGCAAGCATTAACATAGGACTAAAGCCCCCAAATATTGCAACCGAGGGACAAGCCTGCAGACAGTACCAGTCCCTGCTGAATATTCTCCCCAGAAACTGTCCCGTGGCTCCCTGCAGGAGGGGGACCCCAGCCTTCAGGACCTCCCTGAGCCCAAATTCAACTGCGCTGACTGCCACAGGCCCAGGGAGCACTGACAGGTTTGGGTGCCCTGGGGCTGCGACACACGGACGCTGCCCTGCCGCACCTGGTTGGACGTGCGCACGAAGAAAGGCAGGGGCACAGCAGCAGTGGCGGAACTGGGACACAGCTCCTCCGACATGTCCGCCAGGCTATCCCGAAAGCCACCGCCTACAAGTGGAGAGAGTGATGGGGAGCTAAGCTGGACACAGAGCCCAGGGGCCTGGCCAGGCCAGCTGTCCCAGGACTGTCCTGCTGGGGGGCAGGGGCAGTGCTGCAGGGGGGTAGGGGAGATGCAGGGACCTCCCCATGGGCACAGAGCAGGGCTGCTACCCAGAAAGCACCAGGGACAGCAGGTGACCCCCCCAAAGCCATCCCCCGGTCCCCACCAGATGCAGGAGAGCTGACAGCCTTGGAAGAGCCCTGGGGGGACTGGCAGGAGGCTCTCACCGTTGTCGATGATGCCCTCTGTGATGAACTCACACTCCCACCACCGGTCATAGCTCAGGGGCCACCTGCGGGGAAGCAACAGTCCCATGCACAGGCCTCCTCCAAGCCAGGCAGAGGACACCCAGAGTTGGCAGCAGGGCATCTCCCTGCATCCACGTCCTGCTCGGGGGCAGTGACACCCCACAAACATGGATCTGAAATCCCAGCACAGCCCCTACCTATAATCCATGGGATGATTGCTGTTGCCCGAAGCTTTGAGGCCTTCATACAGCTAGAGAGGAGCACAAGGTGGAAAGGGGACTGAGCTGCAGCAAGGCTGAGCGACAGCTCAAACAGCAAACACATCCCCTGCCCGGTGCCCCGGCATGGCGCGCAGCCCACCTCGGCCAGGCCAAAGGTACCTGGGTGAAGACAGCGTTCTTGCAGCGGGGGTCCAGCGCAGGGTTGGCACGGTGCTCCTGGGCCAGGTACCTGTTGATGTACAGCTTTGGCAGGGTTTGAGGTGCAGAGCTCTGCGTGGCCTGCAGAAACTGGGTGATGAGGGCCGAGCAGTGCTTGGACAGCAGCAGGAAGATCCTCTACCGAGGGAGAGTCAGGGCTTGTTAGGGTCTGCGCTCCTGCCTGCAGGCACTGGCAGCACTGTCCCCAGCGAGCGAGAGGCAGGAGCCCCACGAAAGCTCACCTTGAGCACGCTAAAGGTGCTAATGCTCTGGTCCGAGATGGGGATCAGGTAATGCAGGACGCTGTCCAGGAGCGTGACAAACCTGGAGACCGGAGAGGACCGGAGCGTGAGGACGCGATGGGGCTGGAGGACACGCAGAGCCCAGTACACCACCAGCATTTTCCCGCAGACAACCTCAGCCTGCCCCAGCACGGCGCAGAGCCCAGGGAACAAGCTCATGTGGCGCAGAGCCACACGCGGGTCCCCTCCAGGCCACAGAGAGACCCTGGCTGAGCGAGGGAGACTGCCCAAAGAGCACCCTTTGTCCAAGTGCTTATTTTGGATCCCTCCAAAGAAAAAGTGCAACAAAGAGCAGCCCCAGCGCGTGGCCCACGCTGCGGCAGCATGACTGGCTCCCTGCCGAAGGGCTCCCTGATGGGTCAGTGCTGGCCCCAGCCAGCAAAGGAACTAGGAAACTTCGAGAAAGACGTATGCAACCCCTTGCTAGAGGCTGGTCATGGTCCTTCCCCAGGGTCCGGGCTTGCTGCGGGCACGGAGCCATCCCTGTGCTGTACCTCTGAATGAGCACGGCCCGCCGGTACAGCATGTCTGCGTCCACCCCTTCCAGGAGGGGATACCGCACCAGCCTGGCCGGCTGGAACATGTCTGTGTTGAGGACCAGGTCCCACTCCCAGAAGGACTTGATCTTAATCCCTCGCAGGCGAACGTTGCACCCGTCGTCTGCCAAGAAAGGACAAAGATGCCACATGGGTGCAGACCTGCGACCAGCACAGCTCAGACGAGGGCTATTGCAGTCAGGGACAAGGGGCCACCTCCAGCTTTGCCTTGCAGCGTCCCAAATGGGGCTCGTCCCCAGCCCTTCCTCCAGGGGACCAAAGAAGCAGCCAGCACAACGGGAAAAGCCACAAGCACCTGTGAAGGCTGCAAGAGGTTTATGGGCATTGCTGGGCTGGCAGCCCCAGGTCTGGCTGTGTGAGCTCACCCCGGCACTCCAGGATGCGGATCTCGAGGACCGGCATGTGGGTTTTCATGTCACGGAGGATGCACACGTCCTGGTAGCTGCTCCTGCACACACAGCACAGAGGAGATGGCAGAGCCCCTTTCTCACACCCAGTGGCTCCCGGCTCCACAACTGCACCCACGTCTGTCCCTGCTGCGTGGCTCAGACTGCTGAGCCGGCCAGCTGTGAGGTGCCTGGGCGAAAGGAGACAGCGGAGATGCTCCTCACAGCCCTGAGCAGACCCCGTGGTGTCCAGGTGCTCCTGCCAGCAGCGTCCACGCTTCAGGCCATGCTGCTTTTCTGGCTTCTCCTGTCTCTGTACTGCCGCCAAGGCTGCTGCACCCTGCCTCAACCCTGGCTACCTGAAACCACCAGGGCTGCAGGAAGGGGAGAGAAAGGTATTTCTGCAACACGACCACAGCCAAGCAGCAAGTGGGCAGCAAGCCCCGGACTAGGGCTCTGCGACGCTCTCTGAGCCCCCCGCAGCACGAGCGCCTCTGCTCACCGAGGGCTGCAGCAGGAGGGCAGCGAATGGAGAGGAGAGACTGTCAGAAGCACAGAGACATCCTGAAGGAGGCAGAAGCCGTGTCCAGAGAAGAACCAGAAAAGAGCATAAATTCAGCAAAGACAGAGCAGAACAGAAATGCGAAATGGCCATGAAGCCGTTCCTGACGGGGCTCCTGAGGGACCTCACAGGAGATGTCTCAAATGGATGCATCGACGCAAATGTTTTTAGAGCAGAACTGGTAAAACAAATAGCAGCAGGTTACAGGGCTGAGGAGCACTCACCCACAAGGGTGAGGTGTTTCAAAGGAGATAGTGAGTTTGTGGAGATGAGCGAGTCAGTAAGTAAAGGACGTAAAGCCTTTGGACACGGCCCCTTTAAAGGCCTATGGGCCCATGGTGAAAAACAATTGCCTGCAACAACGGCTGCACAGACGCAGCAAGAAATTAGCTCCTGCCACCAGGAAAGAGACCTCAGCAGTCTCACAGACGCTTCTTCAAAGACAAATCTTACTGCTCAAGCAAACGGGCAAACAGGCCAGTTTTGGGGAAGGAGGACATCTTCAAACCCCTGTGTAAACCCCAGGCATGCAGCAGTGGGTGCAGGCTGGGTGCCCGCCTCGAGGAGGGCATCGCAGAGCCCTGAGCCGGCCTGGGAGGAGGCAGCAAAGAAGGAGGTGAAGCGCACCAGGACTCTTCGACCCTAGCACGGGAGAGAGATGCTCAGAGAGGAAACGACAGCCGTATTTGCTCCCACACGCGAGGAGGAGGAAGAGCCCCCAAAGTCACCAACCAGCAGCCACAAAACAGCATGCAGACCAGAAGCACAGCTGAAGGCACTTGGCTGGCATGTGGAGGATGGGTGGCCACCATGCTTGCAGCAACTGATGCAACCTCCAGCCCAGGGAGTCCAGACCCGCTGAGAGCCCTTGCCAGGGATGGATCGCTCAGGATCCACCCTAGCTCTTTCCTTAAGCCTCCACACTAGACACAGATACAGTTTGGGAGTTTGGACCAAGCCAGACCAATGCTGCTTCTCTCTCATTACTCACTCGCTGATTAAGACGGTTCGCAGATGTTGCAACCTGTTCAGTGCCCCGCCATACACAGCCACCCGTCTAGGTACGAAGGATGATATCTGCAACTCTAGCGTCAGCCACAGCTTCCTGGAGATGAGAAGAGTGAGCAGTAGCTTTGTTCTGAGCCAGCTGGGCATGGAGATGCCCAGGAGATGCCCCCAGAGCTGCCAAAAGGGCTGTGCACACCCGACTCCCTCCTGGGACACAGCTGTCTCCCACCTCTACCTGGAGCCCCAGACTGCGGCTGAGAGAGCCCAGGCAAAGAGCTGTATTCAAGAGGAACAAGATGCTTTGCCCCCAGACCCTGCTTATCTCCGGTATAACCCCTGCCAGGGGTGGGACACCTATAGGTCTCACTTGACAACGGTGCCTTTCTTCATGTTGAGCCGCACCCAGTGCTCCCCCAGGGGCCCGTCGCTCTCCCAGTAGGTGTCTCTTTGGCCGTCCGTCAGATGGGATGCATTGAAGCCCTCCTGGAAGAGCACAGCGGGCGGAAGGAGGCAGCGTGAGCATCCGTGGGTGTGCTGGGGCCACCTCCAGGAGGGGTCCCAGGAGGCCAGAGGAGGTCAGACCGGGCCAGCCCCGGCATCTGCTGGGCTGTTGGTGAATGGCAATTCCCGTACAGAGCAAGCTGGACGCAGCCACCGACCCCTGACAGGCTGGCGAGTGCCAATGAGACGCAGCGGGGTTTTGCTCCAGGCTCCCAACTCACACCAGCTTCGCTAAACCCTACCCCAGCCCCAGCCCCTCGTGGAGGGGCCAGGCACCGCCGGCTGCGCCTCCTCCGAGCCGCGGTGAGGCTCATGCGTCCCACGTGCTGCAGCTCACGCTGATTTTTACCAGCACGTGCCAAGCATACCATGACACCTCCAGTCCCCCCACCAAAACCAGGAGACATGCCCTGAGCAGAGCCTCTTCTCTGCCCGAGGGCCGATGAGGGCTGATGCCCGGAGAGCTTCCGGCTCCCTCCCCTTGTGAGAAGAGGGTTTAGTAAAAGTCATTACTCCTCCCATCTCTGGGGCTTCCCAGAGCTGCCCAGCCCAGTTCGCTCCTGCTCCTGCGCAGGCCGGACGAGCCCCACTACGCACAGCCTGCGAAGAGACGACGAGGCTGTTGACGTGTTCCTTGATGCAGTCCAGTCTCTCCAGCTCCCTCTCGCTGTGATCGTACAGGAAGCGCACCAGCTCCACGTCGCACTCATAGCGCCAGGCCGGCGGCAGGGACCTGCAGGCAGGCTCAGCGTTAACGGGCCAGAGGCAACCAGTCCGCGCCCCAGACCTGCCAGCAAGCTCCCAGCCTGTCCATCAGCACTGGCTACCCTCGGAGC